TTTGGGCTTTTTCGGGTTTAGGGTTTAGGGTTTAGGGCTTTTTTTGGCAGTTTTCGAGTAAGGTTCTTAGGAACCCAAAAAGGACATAAGCATAAGCATTTTAGGGATATCCCTACCTTATTGGGCTTCATTATAAGGGGGGTTTATGTGGGATATCCCTATCCTAATCTTTGCTTATGTGCTTTTTTGGGGCCCTATTCAAGATTTTGGGAATTGGGCATATCATTTGCCAAGTCCCTGAAACCCTAAACCCTAAACCCGCCTCTCAAGTAGACAGATCAGGACATGGCCACCTACATTGCATCCTTCGGCAAGCATGTGGTCATTGAGAAGGCGCGGGTTGCAAACGAATCCTTAAAGCATAAGCTCCAAACCCTAGTCCCAAAACTCGCAGACCCTAAGCCCTCAAGCCCGAGCCTCCAACTCCTGTTGTGACAGATGCCTACACTCAGTTTCCAATACCCGAGACCAGCGAACCCCAGTCTCTAAGCAAGCAAGCAAGCAAGCAAGCAAGGCAGCAAAGTAAGTAAGGTTTTGGGTACTTGCACCGTTTTTCGTTGTCAATAAACACCCAAGCCCCAGGTGCAGTTGCAGGAAAAAGCACCTGAAACCCGCGTAGACTCAGACCGTATCCGTTTCTGAAGCACGCTACCGGGATTAGGCACACGCAAGCCCTAACCCTGCCTAATTAAATATGCCCTCCAAGCACTCACCCACATAGCTATCAATTGGGTCCTTCATGACCGGTGAGACTTCTGCTTCTGAACCTTCTGAACCGAAACCCGAAAGTCAAAGCTGAGACAGTCCAAAGCCCTCACCCTCAAACCGGTGAAGCCTACAAACCCATTAAGAGCACTTCTCACCCCCCCGAAAGCTCAAACCTGTTCAATACGAGGCCTAGAAACACTTAAAACACATAAGATTGTAAGTTGAAATGGCTACCAATACCAGTCGTTTGAGTTCCCTATTGAAATGTAAGTATACCGTAGCTTGTTCTAGTTATGAAGGCTTCTACATTTAAAAGAAAAGCAGGTGCATCTGCAGGATGTCGACGTGATTTGGGAAGCTTGGACTCACGAAATCTGGGTTCTTGTTAAAGAACCTGGTGTAAGTTGCCATAATGGGGATCTATAGCAAAATAGTAGGGTTTCCCAATGATGGTCAGTTCCTTAACAGGAACCTAGTAAAGTCCAGCGAGGGTCCTGGGGCGCTGCAGGGCTTTCATTCCCAAACTGTGTATAGCCGCCTGCTGCCTGCATCCCCTACCCTTAGCTGCTCCAAACTGTAACACCAGCTAAGCTCTTGCTGTGGCCCAAAAGACTTACCTTTTTAAGGAACTTTGTATAGAAACCATAATCAGGAATCCTAAAAAGGTATATAGGTCTTTTCGGCCACAAGTATACCAATCCCTAAATTCTACGCCCTGAGCTGCTAACCAAGCCCTAACTCCTAAACCCTATTTCTCCTATAGAAGTCTTAAGAACCCCGTTGGAACCTTGTAGATCCCTTAAAAAAAGCCCTAAACTCTAAACTGCTTCAGCTCCTACAGAACCCTCAGGCACCCCTTAAAGGAACCCTCACCTCTAAACTGTCTAATCTCCTATAGAACCCTATAGATCCTAGAAATACAGGAACCCTAAACTCTCAAGGACCCTTCTAGAATGCCATAGATTACGTACAAAGGAACCCTTCTAGAACCCTATAGATTCCTTAGGAAGGAACCCTAAGCCCTAAACCCTACACCCCTAAACCCTACGCCCTTAAGGTCCTTTCTAGAACCCTATAGATTCCTTATGGAAGGAACCCTAAGCCTCCAAGCTTCTCATCTCCCATAGAGCCCTTACGAGCCTCTTATAGAACCCTACAGATTCCTCACGTTTGGGGTTTAGGGTTTAGGGTTTGGGGTTTAGGGTTTAGGGTTTAGGGTAGGGGCCTCGCTTCTTTGCAGGGTTTCTGTATAGGCTTAGAGTGCAGGAGGCCACCAGGGTCTACAAAGAAACCCTGCTTCGAGGTTCATGGGAAGTTATAAGTAGGGTTATACATCCCCTAATATGGGTTACAACTACAGCTGTCCTACTTATAACCCCACTTATAGGCTCCAAGCCTCTAATCTCTAGCCCCTAAACCCTAAACCCTAAACCCTAAACCCTAAACCCTAAACCTAGCTTCAGGAGCGTGGCTTCTTTGCCTCCAACCTCCTGGATCTGCAGAACCTAGGTACCGACGAGGAGCCTCCTTGGGGTTTAGGGCTTAGGGTTTAGGGTAGGAAGCACAATGATAGTTATCATAAGCATACTGATATAAATGTATATATATATATATATATACATATACATACAGACATGTAGAAGAATCATAGACTCATAAAAGGTTATAATCGTAAGTCATAAGAATGATTTGTATATGTATATAAACCCTAACCCTAAACCTTGAACCCTATGTATTTATGTATGTATGTATGTATGTATGTATGTATGTATCTATGTATGCATGCATGTATGCAGAGTTTATACAAGGGGCCGGAGGGTCCCTGATAAGGGTTTATATGGTTTAGGACTTTAGCATTTAGGGTTTAGGATTTAGGGTTTAGGGTTCCTTTTCGGAGGGTTCTGTATTGATTATGTAAGGGTTCTGCAAGGGCTCCTCCTTTCCAGCGAGTGGCGTTTAGAATAGCGTTCTGATGTCCCCAATGCTCTGAAACTCCCATGTTGGTAGTTCTCGAAATTCGTGTCCCTTTTCAGGGTCCCCCAAATTAGTACGGCACCCTTCTAAAAAGGACCCTAAAAAGGGAGCCGAATTTAGAGAACTGCCCATGCGTTGTGAAAGTTTAGAGTTTTTTTTTAGGATGTGTGAAGAAGCCCAAGGGTTCATAGGGTTAACCTAGAATTTTGTAGGTTCTTATTAAACATCCCAATTATCGAATGCAAACCTGGGCTTGGGTAGTGAAGGGTAGGGTTCATGGTTTGGGGTCGAGGGTTTGCGGTTTTAGGTTTTCTGGAGACCCCGGGTGACTGTACAGACATGCCTCGTTACGGCCCAGAATGGTATGAGATCCTGAACTCGACTCCAACTCAACGGAAGGGGGCGCGTGTAATATAGGGGCCTGAATAATTACCAAGACTATTTAAGCAGGATTCCTTATTATAATTATAGCATATTCTACCCCCCCACCCAACCCTATTCTAATTATTAAGGCCCCTATAGTAGTTTAGTGGTCTTTCGTAGGAAGCTTTGTAGTATTTTTTGCGGGGACTAACAGATTGGCCAGTCAGGTTCCTAAACCCTAAACAGGGTTTAGGGTTTAGGATCGGAGTTTAGGGTTTAGGGTTTAGGATTAGGGTTTAGGGTTTAGGGTTTGGGGTTTAGGATTAGGGTTTAAGGTTTAGGGTTTGGGGTTTAGGGTTTAGGGGTTTAGGGTTTAGGGGTTTAGGGGTTTGGGTTCTTCTTGCAGCTGGGATTGAGGGACCTCGAAGATGGAAGCCCGCTGAGCCACAACACCACCAGCAAACCCCACAACCCTAAATTTCAGACAAGACAGATCGCCTCCAAATTGTATGCCTTAAAAGCTACAACCACAAAAATATCGCCTGCCTAAACCCTAAGCCCTAAACCCTAAGCCCTAAATCCTAAACCCTAAACCCGAAACCCTAAACCCTAAGCCTTAAACCCTAAGCCCTAGACCTAAAGCCTGAAGCCGAGCCGCTTGCAAGGGCGCTGGTGGCAGCAGCCCTGCAACTGACGGTGCGGAGGACCGGTCTGGGTGTTGCCGTTGTATCTTAAGGGTCTGTCGGGTTCAGGGTTTAGGGTTTAGGGTTTAGGGTTCAGGGTTTAGGGTTTAGAGCTTTAGGGTTTGGGGTCTAATTATCGGCTTTGGGGTTTCAGGGTCTTTAGGGTTCAGGGCCTACAGGGTTTAGGGTCTACCCCAAGCCCTAAACCATGTTGGGGCATCGTTATTGTGCTTTTCGGGGGCGGGGGGGGGGGTTCGAGTGAAAGGCTTTCGGCGCTTAGGGTTCAAGGGGTTGAGTTTTGCTGTTCGGGGTGTTCAGGGTTTCGGGCGTTCAGGGCCTCTGCGTTTTAGGGCTTAGGGCTTAGTGCTTTTAGGGTTTGGGACTTTCAGGGTTTGGGGTCGAGGGGTGGGCGTGTGTGTATATATATATATACATATATATATATATATATATACATATATATATATATATATATATATATGATCGAGGTTCGGCAGGCACCACCGCTCCCTCCCCCCCAATGGTTGGTACCCCTTCCGCCCCCCCCCCCCGTCGTGCGCTTCCATATGAATAGGGATAAGTGAATAAGGTGATTGAAAATTAGAACCTAGAATTTTCTATCTAGTTAACTTACTGTTCATATTTCTCTTGCTACTGTTATGATTATGGTTGTCATTGTTTTATGACAGTTATTATTACGATTATGAAGATTGATTTGATAATTCTTATTGTTATGACTATTACTATTATTCTTCCTGTTGTTACTTTTCCCAGTGTGTATCTCTATATATATATATGGCTATGCTAAACATGTTTGGCGTTGCTTGTTGCAGCTCTGGTACTTTAACGTCCAAGTGCCTCCTGAACCGTCAACTCTTCAACCGCTAGACACCGCATGAGCCCAAAACCCTACAGATCCTGAATAATGGCGGCCAACAGCATCTAGAAGTTCCTGATTTTAATTGTGGCATGTATACCCCGAAACCCTAAACCCATAAACCCTAAACCCTAAATCCCTAAACCCTAAACCCTAAACCCTAAACCAATGAGTTCTTGGTGGTGAGGACTCCGGAGTGACGACGACACTGCGGAATGTGGAAGTTGAAGACGTCACGTTGAAGCTGCCCCCCTGAATTGGAGCTGCCTTTCCGGGCCAACAGGACCTCTTTAGGGTTTAGGGTTTAGG